TAATGCTGGAAATTTTTGACTTTGATGTATTCGAAAGCACAAGCAAGAACCAAAATGACTGGGGTAGTTTCCCTCCTCCTCCTCCTTCTCCCTCTCCTCCAAAAAATACAAATAAGGAGGTTGCTCCCACTGAGGAACACCCAGACTTCCCCACAGTGTTTCCTACTAAGGGATCCTTTCTTCAGGATTCTCAGATAAAGAGTTTTGATAGCCTCCATGATAGGTTTCCGGAGACGGCCTCTCCAAAACATGAGTCCAAACAATTCCAGCAAACAGAAGAATCCAAAGAGTTAGTCAGAACTCAGCCTAGTGAGCTACCTTTAATGGAAGCAGACAATCTTACTTTGCTTGGACAAGAGGGCAGTGAAGACCCAAAGGATAAAATCTTGCTTGTGCACCACACTGCTATAGAGGAAAGAGAGGAAGATGAAGGCCAGAAGAAACATTTAAAGGAGGTGTCTTCTGGGGAAGATATGACCATCTCAGCAACGGTGTTACCAACAGACACGTCCTCCACCCAGCAGTCTTCAGCGGATGTGTGTCCCCATGATGTCTTGTATGTCACTGACCTCATCACCTTTTCTTCCCGCTTCTGTGGCACAAATTCACCATTGAAGAAGGACATGGCTTTTGGGTCTTCTCTGAAGATGGTAGAGGTCATTGTGGAGCTGATCACAACCACCGATCGTGGGCGAGGCTTTGCGATGCTGTTTGAGTACAAGAATGATACAGACTCGATTGCCATGAATGATTCAACGGAGGGGAGAGAGAATATCATGATGCTGGTCATCATAACAGGGATTCTTTTCTTTGCACTTGTTCTGTTGTCCACGCTTTGTATTGCTTGCAGGTTGGTACTGTGATTGTCAATTGATTGGTTTCCCTGGACAATCCTTTCATGTGTCTGCCTTCAGTCTAGGATAGGGGTCTATGGCAATGCTCCCTCTAAGCTGTGGAGCCCTGTGAGCAAAAATTCTACTTTCTGAGTTACTGGCATTAAAGTTATGAGCAGGTGATTTGGCTACTGCATAAATTAGTTTGCTCTGGAGCCATTCTTCCTGAGCTAAGACAAAAATGTGTGCGCCGGAGGCTAAAAAACTGTGAGCTAGCTCACACTAAATCAGCTTAGAGGGAACACTGGTCTGTGGGCATTTTTGGAGTTCTGACAGAGTTTGGTGGGTGCAACTACAAAATGGCTGCCATAGGAGGTGGAGCCAACTGCAAAATGGCTGCTACAAGAGGCAGAGCCAACTACAAAATGGCTGCCAGTCACAAAATGTCAGGGAGTGAATTCATTCATGACTAATAGTAACCCTTCAGTATTTCTAATGACTAATAGTAACCCTTCAGTATTTCAAGCAGCAGCTCTATTTAACAAGGTAACTATTAATATCAACTTTGGAAGAGTTGCCAACCTTCAGGTGGCACCTGGACTTTCTTCCAGAATTGTAACCAATGCTTCCTGTAAGCTGTGGAGTCTTGTGAGCAAACATTCTGCTTTGTGAACCACTGGCATTAAAGTTGTAAGTGAGCAATTTGGCTACTGCATAAATTAGCTTACTCTGGAGCCATCCTTTCTGAGCTAAGACAAAAACGTGTGAGCCAGAGGCTAAAAAATTGTGAGCTAGCTCACACTAACTCAGCTTAGAGGGAACACTGATGACAACTGATCTGCAGACCGCAGAGATGGTTTTCCCTGAAGAAAATGGCAGCTTTGGAGGGTGGCTGCTATGGCATCATGCTCCTCCTGAGCTTACTCCCCTTCCCAAACTCCACCTTCCCCAGGCTCCATCACAAATCTCTAGGAATTTCCCAATGTGGAGTTGGTAACCCTAGGCCTAAGTCAAGGGAAATGTTTACGGTCTCTTTCCTCCATCCCCTTGCAGAACTTTATCTACCTGTACCTCAGCTTCAGGTAAGTGGTAGATCTGGCCAGTAAATCCTGTCGGAGTCTGTGATATCACACCACAGTTTAGAAATCACTTAACAATAATCTCTCAGTACACAGAATGATTGAGTGGGCCAGATGAATGCTCTTCTTGATGATAACCATTTGGCAATCCATTTTATCCTCGGTGTGAACGAAACCAGATTTACACAGACTCCTTGAAGAAAAAGAAAACTTTGCCCACCCAGTACAGTGTCCCATTTCTAGGAGCCTGATTGAAGGAGTGTGAGGGGCCCAGTTTGGATTGGGGCTACAGTACACAATGGAGCTTAAACCTTTTCCCCTGCAAGTTTTCCTGACCTGAAACAGTTCTGTGGAGCATTGTTTGCCCCACTGGAGAAACCCAGGTGAGGAAAATGGCATGGGAGGAAGGCTTCTCCCTATATACGGCAGCTCCAGTCCAAATTAGGCCCCTGAATACCTGCAGCTGGGAACTTGCAGTACATGTCTGAAAGAAGGTCTTCGTGACAGACCTGGAGGATGCAACATGACCATGTATTTAGTCCCTTAGCTATAAGATAAACCAGAATTTTATCTCTCAGTGTCAAGAAAATCTTGTGTTCGGATAAATTCAGGATCTTCCCAGTTAATACATTTCCTTGCCTTTGCGTTGATGGGCGTAGATAAGGGAATGCATGGTTATCTCCAGTCTCTGCTGCTCTGACCTTATAAATCTACAGATGTTATTTTGTTCTGAGTCTAATTTTTATATAATTGTTTCTTACAGTTCAGTGCATCTCAGGCTGCCATTTGGCTTGGCTGTTGAAATATACCTGTTGATAAACGGCAAAACCAGGCATTTTTCATGCCACCAAGTAGCAGAAATGGCACATTAACGACTCTTGGCTCTCAGTCTGCCAAGTGCCAAGGGAGACAGTGTGTGTGAGAGAGAACAGTCATGAGCCCCTTTTAAATGTCAATATTATCTGGAATATACTCTTATTACCTGTGTCTCCACAGTGGCCTTCAGATAACAAGGGATTCAGTTTTCTTTCACTGAGTGCTAATGTCTGGAGTGTTTTCAGAAAAGGAGAACCCGATGGGTTTTTGATAATATAGCCTGCGTGGGTTTTTATTTTTTAATTATTCACCTCTTTAAAAGGAACTCCAGGAAAAAACTTAACGAGGCTATTGGGGATTGGAACGATGCAAAATATTTCTGCTTCAGTATTTTTGTTGATTCCTCCGTTCAGCAATGTGGCTCATCAGCTTAGCCCAAACATGCAGTCTTTCTGGACAACATACCATTGCAAGGTAAACAACACATTGTGTAGAGAAGGGGTCCCCAGACTTTTTGAGCCTGTGAGCAGCTTTGGAATTCTGACCCTGGGTGGTGGGCATACCCACAAAATGTCTGCTGCGAGGGCGGAACCAACTACAAAATTGAGGTTATCCATAAATCTAACATTAACTCCTCAGCATTTCAGGCAAAAGCTCTGCTTAATACCTTTTGAAATGAACATAATGTTTTAAAATACTTTATTGCGTACACGCGACATGCAATGAAGATCTTTGTGCTGTGGTGGCAGCTGCTGCCAAAGCAATGATTTTTTAAAATCTGCACAGTCAATCAGGTCTCCTTTGGCTAATCAAAAGCCATGTTGGGGACCTCTGATAGGGTTGCCAGTTCCAGGTTAGGAAATTCCTAGAGGTTTGCAGGTGGAGCCTGGGGAGAACAGGGACCTCAATAGGCTACAATGCCACAGAGGCCACCCTCCAAAGCATCCATTTTCTCCAGGGGAACTGATCTCTGTAGTCTGGAGATGAGCTGTAATTCCGGGGGATCCCCAGCTCCCACCTGGAGGCTGGCATCCCTACCCCCAGTTGGAGGGTGGAATCTAGCATGCCAGTGGTGGAGACTGCCTGGTATGTTATGTTGCTGTCATGTTGCTGTGGAAGTGGATTCAGGATGTGACATTCCGCTGGAACTGAGGCACAGTGCCCAAGTTTTGCAAAGAGGCTGCTAATTTAATAGGCACCAGTCAAAAGGGAAAGAAACCCTTTGAAACATGTTGCCCATATCACACATATAATAAAGCTAGATTCAGGTGGGTAGCCGTGTTGGTCTGAAGCAGCAGAACAAAGTTTGAGTCCAGTGGCACCTTTGAGACCAACAAAGTTTTGTTCAAGGTGTGAGCTTTTGTGTGCAAGCACACTTCTTCAGATATAATAAGGCTGTGTATTATTGTTCCAGAATGGCTAGTCTTCCTGAATATGCTCTGATGCAGTCCAGAAATTTCTTAATGCATCTGCCCTTTCAGAAGAGGAAAACGATGCTGGATTTGTACAGTTTGTCCATGACCTGCCAGGAGGAGGAGGAGGAGGAGAAGGTCTGCCCCTAAATGTCTTGTACCTGCCTTGCTTAGAAAATGAACCCCGGCAAGCATGATGGATGACTGTCATTTTGTTCTACTTGGCATGCTGTTTTTGTCTAGTTCAGTGCTATGAGTGGCATACAAGTAAATATGATTAAGTATGCTTAACCAGTGCGAGGCCCTGGAATTGATGTAGCATGGTGGTTAAGGGCACAGGCCGAGCCAGAAATCCTAAATTAAAATCTGTTTACCCATCTTTTTTCCTCCTTCAGTCTCACCCACCCCACTTGCAATTGGTGGGGAGAATAATAACGCTGGATTCTTTTACAGGCCAGGAGGAAGAGGAATCGCACAGACAGAGAAGGGTGACACAGTTTTAATATTTGCACAGAAAATGGAATCTGGGCAGGTGCAGCTGTCATTATAGGCAATTCTGAAATTCTTTCTGCCTCATTAACATATGGGAATCTTTTCCCCCTTTGCATTTGGACTCCCAAGACGTGATCAATGAGGGGGAAAGTGACAAAGTAAATGCTTAAGCTGTAATACCCGTAATTAGTCTGCCCCCCCCCCCAGCAATTGACTCTGGACTCACATCCTCTCTAATCTGGCTTCTCAATGCGATGTCCCAGATTAGTTGACCCAGAAGAGGGCAGCCTTAAGTTGCTCCGTCACTGAGGAGGAAGCCTCCACAAAAGGAGCTAATAACCTTGGAATGATCCCAAACTTGTCCTGCTTTCTCCTTCCACTCTCCAGGCCTGTCCTTGGAAGACCAGAGCAAGTCAGAACTTGGCTACCCTTTCCTTCCCTCACTCCTCTTGTTATTTTTTTTTTTTAATATGCTGCCGCCTGGCTAAAAGTAGCAGCTCTCCCCCCCCCCTGCAGGCAGCCAAATGGCGCAGGCCAGATTTGGCGCCTAGCATCCATTCTAATGAACGGGGGTCGATGGTGGTGGGGTAATCACCCAATGTTTGCCCAGGGCTTCATTCCCTTCAGCTGCAGCGAGCTCTCTGGGGAAACTCCAAGATTTTGCCACACTGTCGCCTTTGTTTACTGGTTGGAAGAGGAATGAAAGCTTCAGTTGTTGGTTGGCCAATATTTCTAATTCCTTTTGGCCAAGAGGCCGGGCCTGAGTTAGCAGAGGGGTTGTTTTTCTCTCCTCTTTCCCAAGCCCCCAAGAACAAGGGGCTTGTCTACCTTCTTAGTTTTAATAGTGCCCAGCAGAGCTGTGAGGGAAACCATAAAACGTCGAATGTCTGACCTGCCAGAGAGTTCTTTCTGACTCCGATACTCACTCCTGTGTATTGACAGCCATCTCGTCACCATAAGAGAGGGATCTGGGCCTCCCCCTCCCCTTAAAAAGTGTTGATATTTATTTAGAAACTTTATATGCCATCCTTACCAAGACTTGCTCGATGGGGTTTGATATGTTCCGCCAGTTACTAGGAAGAAGCGACCAACAAAGTCAGATTGCATTCCATCAAAAGGAAGGCCTGGAGAAGGCTGACTGTAAAGGGTTGTTTGTGAAGCTGACTTAAGTGAGTTAGAGCCAGTTACTCTGGTGGGGATGTATTCCCTCTGAGCTGAGTTAGTGCAAGCTAGCTCACAGTTTTTTAGCCTCCAGCTTGTACATTTTTGTCTCAGCTCAGGAAGGATGGCTCCAGAGGAAACTAATTGATGCAGTAGCCAAACCACTCGCTCACAACTTGAATGCCAGTTGCTCACAAAGTAGAATGTTTGCTCACAAGACTGCACAGCTTAGAGGGACCATTGGATGCTACCCTTCGGTGGGATCTAGGGATCCCCTGGAATTACAGCCCATCTCCAGGCTACAGAGATCAGTTCCCCTGGGGAAAAACGGATGTTTGGAGGGTGGACTCTATGGCATTGTACCCGACTGAGATCCCTGCCCTTCCCAAGCTCAGCCACCAAATCTCCAGGAGTTCTCCAACCTGGATCTGGGAACCCTACCCCCCCAAACCCTGCCAGTGGCTGGGCGGGGGGGAACCTGGAAACCCTAGACTCTGGAGACAGAGGCCTACTTGCATGACCTGTAAACCTGTAACTAAGCAGCACTTCTTCAAGAAGGGGTACCAACCTCCAGGTGGCACTTTGAGCTATTACCATTGATCTCCAGTGGCCCTGGATTAACCATTAAGTGAAATGTACATGCTTAGGACACCAAGGGAAGGGGACCACCACAGAGGGGGTTTTGCTTATGTTTCTCACTGCTAGTTAGTGTCTTAATGTCTTATCAGTTAAGCAATGGAAGCATTTTTTCGGGAGTATTAGCTCTGTTAATTCAATTAAGGCAGCAGTCATAGGCTTGAGGAATTGTTCAAAAGGGGCATCTAAGAATTAAAGTGCCTTACACAGCTTCGTTAGCACCTGACACGGTTTCCACTAAGGAAGGAAACAGAAGCTTGCACACCTGCCATTGGACTGGTCCTGCAGCTGGGGCGGGAGACGGGCGGCCTCACTGGGTCTTCCTGCTTCTGCCATCCTTTTGAAAGGAAGCATCAGGAAGACCTGGCAAGGCCATGCGGCTGGCCAGCGAGTGACTCCCACACTGTCACAGTCCATTTCCTAAGGAGCTCCTCTTCTTCCTCCCCAGGGCCTCTGAGTCCCTCCTTCTTTCTATCTTCTTCTTCTGGAAGGAGCTCTGCCATGGTCTCTGTTCCCTGCCGAGCAGCTACAGGCTGCACTGGCTAATCTGAAGACGAGGAGGTGAGGCGGACAGTGCAGTGACTACCCCACCAAAATTCATAATTAAAGGGGGAGATTCGGGTGAGTGCAGCAAAATTGATGAGGGCACAGCAAAATCGATAGGGGGTGCCGCCTGCTCTGCCTCCCCCCCCCCGCTGGCTGCAGCTCTGAATGGAAGGGCCAAGGGGCACCATTGTTGGGCTGTGTTTAGAGCATCAGTTGGGCTTAATCCAGCCCTGATCTCCAGACAACCAAGATTGGTTCCCCCGGAGAAAATGGCTGCTTTGGAGAGTGGACTCTATGGCATTATGCCCTGCTGAAGTCCCTCCCCTCTCCAAACCCCTCCCTCCCCAGGCTCCACCCTCCAAAATCTCCAGGTATTTCCCAATCCAGAGCTGGCAACCTTATTTTCAGGGTATATTGGGGGTTCACAGCCCTCCATAATCCTCTCCCCAAATCCCTGCACATAGAAACTAGATTTCAGAGAGAAAGACCCATGTCATACCTCCCATCTTTAGCTTCAAACCTGCCAAAAGAGAGTAGTAGTGAGAAATTTAAGTTACTTTCATCCCACAGTCTAACCTACTTTACAGAAATTTGTATGAGGGTAAGGTGAAAAGCCTGAAAGTTTAGTTAAAATTTGATGGCTCTTGGCTTGGGAGGGTTCTTAAAAAGAAGGATTTTTATGTGCTAAATTCATTGCCTCAGCAGTAGCAGATAATCTTATTTCATACTACCGATATCCGTGTATCAGTGTGGGACCTGTTTTGTGGTCTTTGTAGCTGCCTGACCAATGCCTGTCAAAATTATTAGATGACAATTTTTTGAACAACCTGGAGCAGTTTATCACCCATACCTGTTCATTACCACGTTGTGACAGATAAAAGCCTTTGTCAGGTATGGGCAGCCGATGAATGCCATGTTTACATGCAGTACTCCATTAAATTCCATATTATGGGTGGGCTAGACTTTTTCCGATTCAGCTCAGAGGCCATTGTGAAATTGTTAAGTTCAACACCATTCATACTGGAGTGTGAGGATATACTCTGCCTGGTTAATGTCTTGCAGAAGCCAGTATCAACTGGGCTGAGGTGACTACAGTATTTTGTCTGAAACATATCTGAAAGCAGTTTTGGATTAGCTAGATTAACAGTTTTACCTGAACAGTTACAGCGAATGCAATTTTTACCATCATGACACTTTCAGTTTCTAAAGTGGTTCTATTTTGCGCTTCTCTCAGTTTGAATTCACCCTTCTTGGACACGAGTAGCCAAAAATGGGTACTGTGCTTCAAATAAGACTTCAGCAGTGCTTCCACAATGATATTAATATACCTCTGTCAAGTACTTTTATTGTGTTGTCTCAAAGTCATAGCAAACAACAGGCACAAAACCATAAAATCACAACACAAAGTTACATTACTAGCTGTAATATATAAACCACCAGCACAGTAGGTTTTAAAAGCAGATTAGACAGAGTCATGGTGGGTAAGTCCACCAATAACTACTAGCCATGTTGACAAAAGGGAGCATCCATGTTCAAAAATAGCAAACCTCTGAACGACAGTGCTCGGGTGTAATGTCAGGGAAGGCCTTAGCCTCTGTGACCTGTTTGTTGGCACTCCAGGGTAACTGGTTGGCCACTGTGTGAAAAAGGATGCTGGACCAAAGCAATCACTGTAATCTGATCCAGCAGTGCTCTTTTTTGGTTTTAAAACATATAAAGAGTTTCATTTGCCTTTTTGGTTAATGCATCAAGAAGAATAGAACCCACAGAGGAGTTGTTAAAATTTACACTGACTTGATGTTTTCCTCTCGCCTCTTTCTTTCTCAGGCAGCAGCTGTGTCCCAAAAGGAACTCTCTGGATGTACGCTGTGACCAGGAGGTTAGTGCTGAATAGTCTGTAACCTTTGCCGATTTGCGTAGGTTCATGTTTTTCTCTCTTTTGGATTCTTGTTACTGGCTACCTGAATATGTTGACGGGGTAATGTTTTGAGTTGTAGAACGGGATCCAGAATGCCGGCATTGATATCAATGAGCTCCGCTTGGTCATGCCAACCCAAGAGAACGAAAACAACAACCACTCTGTTGGGGGAAATGGAGCGGGTAAGCAGCGGGCTGTTAGGAAGAGCTCTGTTGTCAGTCTTTAACTGTCGCCGTCCCCCGCCCCGAGATGCTGGAGATGATTTCTGCATGTGTGAAACTTGAACTCTTATACTTTACAAAGAGGCCTTTACCTCTTCTAGCGCTTGTTTTTCCCCTCCCTTGGTAGAGTAAATTTGTTTTCCTTGGCAGCAAAAGCCCACAAGTGTAATCCCAGAGTGCTGCCAACGGAAACAGACATACCCAGTGTTGTAAACCAGGTTAGCAGGTCATATGTTCTTGTTAATCTGGTGACAGAGATGATCTTTAATGCACCCATGAACGGGCACACACGCGTGCCATTTTCTCATGGCCGTACCCGTAAAGGATGAATTTTTGCAGCATTAGATTCGTGTTTTTTATTATGGTCATGCTGTCATTTCCCCCCCTTATTACATTAGGGATTTTTATTCTTTATCTTGGTTGTGCAATTAAAGGAGCAGTCCCAAGAAGGTCTTTGCAGAAGCAAGGCCAATTTTACTTAACAGGTAGGGTTGCCAACCTCCAGGTGGGGACTGGAGATCTCCCGGAATTACAGCTGATCT